TTTTTTTTTTTTTTTTTTTTTTTTTTTCCTTTGCTTTTTGGTGCCAGCAAATGGCACGAGGTACAGCACTTCAGTTTCAAGGTAGGCTGGCAACGGTACCTCCCTCAAAGACAGCAACAACATACACTGTAGACTGCAGGCTCGGGAAGATGCAGATTTTGGTTCGACAATTTAGCTTCGGTTGGAGCTGTAGTTTAACAGTGAAAATGATCAGTGCAAAAAGGAACACAAATCATGTATTTCACTTGGTGAAAGAATCTTCAATTGTGGAAGATGATCGCAGTTTTCCGTGAGTCTTACTGTTTCATTTGGATCAATCACGTGCGATGGTTGGAAGATTCGAGATCTGAGTCCATCTGAGAGTCTGTAGGGAGTATGGTGGTGGTGATGCACACCTGCCTGGCGAACCTCCACGTTCGACAAAGCCGCAACAACACTATCGTCACCAACGCTGTGCATCATGACAGTAGCACCGAACTGTAGATCTTCACTGTCAGCGCTCCCCTCAATTACAACATTTCTTGTCAAAACTGCCACCTCAGCCCGGAAGTCAAAGAGCTGCCCCCCGTACGTCAGGATCTCCCCAACGTGCGGAAACTTCAGTGGCCGGTCAAGCACAAGCTGTGTGCCATTCCCAAAAACTCCCGCAATACGAGCCGTGTCGATCTCCGCAGGGTCAAAGTTAGATGGTGCAATGACAATCTCATCACCCACCTCCCAATTAACTGAATCAACAAGGCTGAGACGTGAATCACCTCCCACAACTGTTCGATTCAACCGTGTCCAGGCTGGCACCTTAGGCAGGCCATGCATGATAAGCCTGCCAAAGCGGACAGCAAGGACTTTTGAGCCATAAATAGGCACTTCCTCACAATCCCTGTCGCATTTTAATGTGATTTTGGCTTTGTGTCTGAAAGGCTTCTCAGCCGTCCCCACCGTCAAACTGCCAAACCGGATCACAATCCATTTTGCGTTCAGTGACACATCAGTTGTGTCATCAAATACCAGATGCCCCTCGATAAGGATAAGTTCCAGCTGGGGTGTATGCATGTCCAGGAACAATGTGTTGTTAGCTGGGACATAAATGGAGTCCCCATCCACAGGAAGCAGGCCATCATCCCACGTTGTCCGGCTGCTCCACAAGTCCACATACTGAAACACAACTGCCTTGGAGGAGTTTAAGTTTGTCCAGTCCATTTCATCTTTCAAAGCTCCTGTGTCATTCCAGTTGCTTACAGAGTATCCCTTTCCTTGCACATTAACCCAAACACTTGCGTTCAAGTTTGTTCCCTTGCTCCTTCCCGTACGGCAGAACAGAGTGTTGTCTTGCAGAGGAGGTACTACCCTGCAGGGTGCTTCTCCAACAAAGGCGGTCACAAGCTCAATGTCCGTCCCAAATCCTTTCCCAGTGATATGCAACAGACTGTTTCCAGCTGTTGTACCCCGTTTGGGTGACACGTCGTACACCATTGGTGTGGATGCTACTGAGAACTCAAAAGAGCCAAACGTTTCAGCACCAGCCATGAAGTTTCTCCCAATTCGTACCTGAGGAACAGAAGTAGGGTTTCCAAACAGGCATCAAATCAAGGAAGCATCAGCCAACCAGCCAAAAGTCCATGCAGCCAAAAATAGAGTTGAATACGCCTGTCCTTTGGGACCTCCGTTAAAATTGGAACGATACAGAGAAGATT